CATAAATCTGAAGGCTGAGTCCTCCTATTCCTGTTATTCCTAGAAGAGGCATTATTCCTGGAATTCCATTGTCTGCAGTCCCTTTTCATGTGTCCCATTTTGCCACAATGAAAGCATTTTGTAATCTGATGTCTCCTTTTACCTTTGGAAATTGCTTCTTGCACCCATGTTTCATTGCCATAATCAAATGTATCAACATTCATTGTATGTAAAACCCATTCATCCAGAGGCGCTGATCTGAGCTTTAAAGGCCCCAGGATCCTTTTGCATTCTACATTGGCATTCTCATATGCCAAAGACTCAATTACTATATTTCTTGTTTCTGGATCAGGTATCCCTATTTGTACAGCCTTAGTTAGTCGTTGCAAAAAGTCACTAAAGGGTTCTCTCTGACCCTGTTTGACCCTGACATACGATTCTACTCTCTGACCTGAGTCTTGAACCCTGTCCCAGGCCCTTAGAGCTTCTGTAGCACATATGGATAAAATGTTTTCATCATAAAGAGCTTGTTCCTGAGGATCAGAGTAAAGTCCTTCCCCTAGAATTTGATCTAGAGAAACCTCAATTCCTTTCTCTGATTCTTGTTGTAAAAGTCTGGCCTCTTGTTTGAACAGGCATTTGAAATGTCATAAAGGTCCGTTCTCAAGGACAGCTGACGTGAGCTGGTTCCAATCTTGAGGGGTGGCCCTGTTGCTCAGAGCCCAGGATTTTAACATCTCCCTAACAAAGCATGAATGTAGTCCATAATTCACAATTGCTTGTTTAAATTCTTTCAGATCATTCATACGTATAGGCTCCCATGTATGTTCTTTAATTACCTTAGGGTTTTTGGAGCCGGTTATCTTTTCTGATGTTATTACTGGAAAGGCAGGTATAACTCTATGTAGACTGAGAGTTTTTTGAGGTGAAGGTTGCCTTTCTACATTTTGCTCCTATTCATCAGAGTCTATGATTTCCTCAATCTTATTAAATCTGCTCACCATTGCCTTCTGTAAGTCCTGAATCTCCTGTCCAGTATTATGCTCCAAAGCCTTCATTAACGATTCTAAGGCATGGAGCTTGTCCGTCAGAGACACTATTTCCTCCTTGGACACAATCGCCTTCATTGATAATTGCAAGGCGTGGGGCTTGTCCGTTAGAGATACGATATCCTCCTTGGACATAATCCTCATGGCATGTACTGTGCCTTCTTGTATGGAAATCCTGTCAATTAATCTATCATACCCTTTTGATAAAGTCCGATTTTCACATTCAATGGTTATAATCCTCTCAGCTAATGTTTCAGCACTTACAGTCATGGACTGGAGGTTATGAGTCATTTTGGTTGTCCCCTCCTCCAGAGCAGTGAAGCTCCCTTCTAAAGAAGCAATATCAGACTGTACCTTCTTGATATTTTGTTCAGTCGACCGAGTCATATCAAACAAAGATCTAGTCTCCTCCTTGAGAACTCCAAACTCTGATCTAGTCTCCTGCTTGAAAACTCGAAACTCTGATCTAGTCTCCTGCTTGAAAACTCCAAACTCTGATCTGGTTTCCTCCTTGAAAACTCCAAACTCTGATCTAGTTTCCTCCTTGAAATCTCCAAACTCTGGTCTAGTTTCTTCCTTGAAATCTCCAAACTCTTTTTTGAGGATGTTGGTATCTGTCTGAATTGTTCTTAAGGTTTTAATCTCTGCCCTCAGCATTGTAGATTCAGTCTGTAAGGATTGTATCTTTCTTATAAAATAGCCAAACACCAGAAAAGCAACAGATCCCAGGAATAACAAAGTAAGAGGAATATCTGAGACATCCTTCAGAATATCCTCCATAGCGCAATTAAAAAAAACCATTGAACTTTTGGATAGTAATATTTTCTGACATTTTCAATCAAAAGAAATTGTACTTGTATATATGTATGTATTTATTTTCAACCAAAAAGAAAAATCTTACCTGTAATGACCGTTGCCTGCCAGTAGGAGGTGGGGCGCACCTGAATCCACGTGGCAGTGGCGTTGATTCAGGAAGTAAACTCTAGAATATATACACTCAAATCCAGAGGTTAAATCCACAGATCACAAAAGGTCAGAGAGCTTCTAGTGGCCAATAAACAAGGCAATAAACAAGGCCCTGCTGCTCTGTTCAACCCGATGCAGAGGGTCGTGACACAGCCACTGTGCTGTTGCTAAAGAGGCCTAGTGCTTTGGGCCCCGTGTCCCTGTGCTAGGATTAAGGGTCAAGCTACTTGCAACACTCCCAATCAGTTATGGCGGATGGCAGGGGTTTCAAACAGCTTGCTAGAACGTCAAAGGGAGCTTGCGCTGTGAGCTCTTTGACTCACGTTGCAAGGAAAAATTTAAAAATCCGTGCCAAACAGGGCAAAGTAAGCCGGCAGAGACTGTCCGGACCTGTGTATCCTGGGAGGCCGAGCTGGGAGTGGGGGGGTGGGGCGGTTCTTAAACCAAACGCTGGGCGCCAATTATCGGCGAATCAATCCCACACTAGTTATGTTTTAAGGGGTTATTTATTTTGGGGGGTAAATCTTACATACACCATAAACCGTCAGGAAGGGAACCTAGTCGCTGGAGCAGGAGCTGGGAGCAGGAGCCGGGACCAAGCGCCGGAACCAAGAGAGCCTGATCCGGGATCTGTGTCTCTTTTTAAAAGAGAAATATACCACGCCCCAGTGGGCTGGTATTTCAGCGGCTATTGGCTGACGGAGCAGAAGGCACTCCCCACCGCACTGTGGGCTCGTGCTTCAGTGACTATTGGTTGAGGCAGCGGAAGATACTCCCACAACAAGAAAACACACTGGAAATTCCTGTTCTCTGGGGACTTAAGGTCTAGCAGGAAGATGCAGTGAAGGAACAGCACAGGCGGCTAGGCTCAGCATCCCTAGGAAGAGGACATTCAGCCACCTCTACAGAGATGTGGGAGACATAGGCCTACTTGGGGAAACTATTCAATGCAGAGGACAAGAAGAAAAATAAAATCCAAGTAGCAGCCTCAAGGAACCTGCTGCAGCTAGGGGCAATGAGGACAGTGAAGAGTAATATGGTTGGGGATGGTAAAGAACCACCATGACCCATGGTTATAGAATCTTGTACAGCTTCCTGCCACATCTGGAGCAATGATTCATGATTTTGTTTTCTAAAATCAACTTTAACCATGTCAATGAATAATGTACAAGTCTAAACATGGACAAACACTTGCCTACAAGACTTAGTATGTATAATCTAAACTGTCACATGGCTCTACATAACAGTCAACCTCAGGGTCTGTAGCATTTGTTCCTTTCATTAAAGTCTTGTGGTAGTGTGTATAAGAACAGGGAACAGCTACAACAAATTGCTCTCCACTAAAAATAAGTGTGTGATCGTCAGTCCTAGTATTTAATACTTCTTATCAAATCATTTATTTCTATCCTCAATAGCCCTTCCACAGAGTCATGTAGTCATTCTTACCTGTCAAAGTAGAAAAAAGAAAAGTTATGTTATTTTTTAAGTGGTTCTCTGAAACATTGCTGCCTTAAGATTTTCACACACACACACACACACACACACACACACACACACAATTCCTTTATTATGATGGACTCACAAATGAACATATTATAGTTCCATTAGCATAGCCACTTAAGCACCTGACACGTCCCAAACCCTGTGAATCTCATTGAACACAGAATAACCATTCTGAAGCCATGGAGCTTTGGTTAAGTTTTAGACTTTCACGGTATTTACATTTTTATATACTTATTAGTCACAAATTAGAAAAAACCACAGCAAAGTTAAAACTAAAAAAAACCATGCCCTTTATAGCCGTATTCATGGCTTATGGGCCCTTTGCTGAATCCTGTTCTTGCTTATCACCTTACATCACTCTTCCTTGTTCTCCTTTCTACATGTTACACCATGCTCACACTCAACAGCTGTCCACATTGTTCATTATGGGCTGAGACAAGCATCTGAGGAAGTACATGGTGTCTCTTTCTTTCTGGTCTTGTGTGACCTTGTTTAATATTATACTTTCTAGGTCCACCACTTTTTTACAAGCTTCATTTTTCTTGATGTCTGAATAACATTCTGTTTTATTAATATATTACAATTTCATTACCTGTTTACCAGTTCATGGATATCTAGGTCAGGCCCATTCTGCTGCTATTGTACATGGACAACAGTAGACATGGATGTGCAAGTCTCTGTGTTATGATGTAGCGTTCTCTCATATATGATCCACAGTGGCATAGCTGAGTCATAAAACGTCTATTTGTAACTTTTTAAAGGAGCCTCCATACTGGATGCATCAGATTATTCTCCCACCAGCAGTGAATAAGTGTCCCTGTTTCTGCAGAGTTCTGACATCTGCTGTGAGATTTCTTGATAATTGCCATTCTGACAGCCTCCAACAAGAGCCAGCATATATTCATATGGATTTAGTGTATACATGACATGATACCAGGAAGGCCTCGCTCAAAGTTTTGGTATCAAAAACTATTAGATCATGCCATGTTTTGCATGCTGGCATTTTGCCATAGTAAAATACAGAGAAGTGAGGAGTTTTCTTTATTTGGTCATTATGAAAGCAAGATATGAAGCAGGATGACAGCAAAGGAACGTGTAGGATTCTAGCAATCAGGAAGAGTCCTCATGCAGTAATGACTATGATTTTGTTCAGGGTATGGTGTCTTTAGTCCCTTCACTCAGGAGGCACAGCCAGGAGGATTACTACAATATGCAGACAAGTATAGTTTACAGAGTGAGATCCAGGTCAGGAAGGGGGACATAGAGAGATTCTGTCCCAAAACTCAAAACACAAACAAGAGAAGTATTTCCATAGAGTCCCACATAAAGGTTCTTCGTGGAAGACCACCATGCTAGGAGGAGTCTCTTAGTGATCAGTAATGAAAGGTACAGTCTAAACACACCTCACAACAGAGATTGAATGCTTAGCCAAAGAGACAAGACATGGAAATGTCTATTTATAATATGTAATTGACTGTGTACATTTTAGTGAAAAAGGAAAAAATGGCCATTGCGAATCTGAAACATGGCAATACCACCTGCCCAGAAGACTGGATTGGATTTGGAAGTAAATGTTTTCATTTTTCTGAACACACAAGTAACTGGACATCCAGCCAGATCTCCTGTATGGAACTGGGGGCCCATCTAACTCAGTTTGGCCGTCAGGAGGAGCTGGTAAGAAAGGATTGGGAGTTGGTTGGGTGTTTCCTCTTGTGGAATATATATTGGCTTGCGATAGAGAACTTAAAGCTGGAACATGAGGAAGGTTCCCACCCTAGGCATTGGGTACACGAAGTACATGTTATCATGTGCCATTTGTGATAGTAACACATCTGTTGTAGCCCTGAGACATTCCAAAGATATTCTCTCCTGTGATGCTAATAGTCAACCTGCAAGGTCAAACATACATTTCAGAATTATGGTTCTCAGTAAGTTTTTGTCCGAGCTGGCAGGTGTTTTAAATTTAAGGTAACAACTGTCAATAAGTGTAAATACAGGCTTAACAAAGGAATTTCTCAGCCACAGAAGGATGAGTGGTTGTTAGTGTTCTATGGATTATGATTGAAAAATATATCCACTGAGAACTGAGGGCTAATGTCAATTACACTCAGTTCAAACCTGTTGACATCCTGAGAAGAGGCTGTAGATTGGAGACACTCAAGGGTCTTTGAAGCTGACAGGCACATGCATTTGCTTTCTGTGTTTTTGACAGAATTTCCTGAATAGAAAAAATGGGCATTCAGCTGCCTGGATTGGCCTGTACAGAGAGTCATCTGAGCAGCCTTGGATGTGGACAAACAACAATGAATATAACAACTTGTATGTTTTCAGAATGCTTTTCCTTCTACTGTGCTCAAGTGCTGTGATTGTGTGGGTTGTGGTTGTGAAAAAGTGAAAGGCTGAGTCATGTGAAGAGAACCGAACTTGAAAGGGAGAAACCCTTGGGGTGGAGGTGTGCCTTGGGTCTGGTTGTGTGCTACTTGGAGTCCCCAGTATCCATATCTTGGCAAATTTACATCTGTTAGAGTCACCTAGTGTTGTTTCACTCCAAATCTTTAGCCTGATGATGGCATCTGGGGAAGATGCTGTCTGCTATCAGCACTTGGAAATCTCTCCTTGCTGGTAACTGCCCGTGTGGGATGCAGTCAGAACTTCTGATGGCCACTAAGGGCTCTGAAACCCCAGTAAGCCACTGCAGAACTGCTGAACGGGACTTTTCAGACAAGAGTGTGCACAGCTGTTTCTGTCATGGAAGCAGAGACTCCAGGGGCATTGGGAACCTTCTCTAAAGTCTCATCATCAAAGAGCACCCAGGACAGCACTTGGATGTGAGCATAGCCATTTTGAACAGACCCATTTCATTGGAACAGTGAATGTCCATCAGTAAAGACCTTTAGAATTTACTAAGTGCAATTTCTCCCATCTTCACACATGTGAGAAATTCTTCAAGATAAAATTGAAAACCACGGTTGTAATACTACCAATGGCTGAATGAACTTCATGTGAACATGGCAGAGAGCACCAGTCAAATGCTTTGTACACACAGTACAGGGTCCAACATGGATGAGTGACAAAGGTGTGGTCACCAAATGGAACCCTGAGAATGGAAAAGTCACTTGGTGTGACACTAGTGCTGGTGATTCCTCATGGACTCTGTCTTTCTGTGATTCGTGCTATAAACAAGCAGTGGACGTGAGTGAGATATCATTGCTGGGGGGAGTGCAGTGGCCGACTCTGCAGAATTTTTTTTGTTTTTTGTTTTAGGGTTCCCATCCGCGGAGACGGAAACCATGCCTACCTGAGTGACAGAGGGATCAGCAGTGGCAGGGACTACATATGTAGGAGCTGGATTTGTAGCAAGCCCAAGAGCTATACTTTAGTGGATTCACAGCTTGTGTAGAGAGTGTGTCAAAGTAATCATGAGAGATCTGTAACATGTTTTCTACAGTCACAGCATTATTTTTTTATCTTATATAAATATCCCAAGCAATTCATATTCTGTGGTGTCATCAGTGATGAAAATTATCACAGGCGACTATACTTACGGGTACTTGGGAGAGTATGGGTGATCCTAAATTAAGTAAGTGTTTTGGTATGGGTTGGCCATATGAATTACAATCATATCAGTATTAGTGACCCCCCAATTTTATGGCCAGACAATGCAGTTTTTTCATTAGTTTCTACTTTGAATGACAGGTACTTTTAAAAATGAAGGGAGGAACTGGGCAGTGGTGACAGATGCCTTTAATCCCAGCACTTGGGAGGCAGAGGCAGGTGGATTGCTGTGAGTTTGAGGCCAACCTGGTCTAAAGAGCAAGTGCCAGGACAGGCTCCAAAGTTACACACAGAAATCCTTTCTCAATCCCCTCTCAAAACAAACAAACAAACAAACAAAAAATGAAGGGAGGACAGGATTGAGTCAAGATGGGTGAAACACTGGGCTCCTGCAGGGGACTAGAAAAGGAGACAGAGGAGTGGAGTCTCTCCTGCACTCTCTCCCCACTGCCCTGGGAATCCTGCAGCAGGCTGCATCACAGGTCTGCAATCACCAAGAAGGAGCCTAAGACATGGATGCCACAGCTGCTGCAACCCAAGCCAGAGTCGGAGTGAGGCCCTGCTCTTAGAAAGTCAGGGAAGAGTGGCAGAGAGAATGGTTCAATCTCGGATAAATGTGCCCTGGCATGTGTGTAATTTCTGTTATCAGAAGCTTTAAAAAAATATTTGAAGATTGATTCAAGATGTTGACTTGTAGGGTGAGGTTTTTCTTTCTTTTTAGGTCGACATCTAGAGCCAGCACTGCTGTGCAGCTGCCCTCAACCCGCAGGTGTGATGACTATACCTAAAGTGCCTTCACTGAGGGCACAGATGTGCAGAGACCTGGCGCTCCAGTGGATTCTGCCCCCAGATACCCTGCCCATCTGAAAGATCCCCTTGTCTCTGGGCAACAAAAGCATATCCCAGACTGGTGCTAGTGGTATTATACGATCACCCTGTCTCCTAGCAACATCAGTATGTCCGTAATGGAGACCTGTTAATTTTCTGGATTGGACCTCAATAAACCTAACACTGGCAGGATAGTAAACAGCAGCCCGGATCTCTCACAGACTCTGCCCCCTAATGCACCCCCATGACCACCCTGTCTCTGAGGAATGGCGGGATGTCCAAAGAGAGTAGTGTATTTCTGGTTTGGGACATCTCAAAAAACCTCCAAGCTGTGTGCTGCCACCACATGCCATGTTGCTGTACATGGTGTGTACTACGGCTGTGACTGTACTGATTCTGTCTACCTCTACAGGCTGTGTGGAGGCCCAAAAATGTGAGCCTGTTTCCACCTTCTGATATTAGAGAGTTGTAGGTTGTTCAAAGCAGCTGACAAGTATATCTTCATGTCCCAACTTAGGATGTGATTACTTAATTGTTTTGACATTAAGATAGCCCATACAAGTAGGTCCATTCAATTCTGCCAGGTTGTCAGGATATACAAATGTACATCTGCTTCTTCTTTTATAACTGTGAGGTCACCTGGGCAGTGGCTGTCTTCAGGATTCATGGTCTAAGGTGCTTTACTGCCTAAACAACAAAATGCTAATGATTTGATGTCTCAAAGTGTTAAAGCAATTAACTGTTTGAGTTATCCTTTGTATTATGTATATAAAATCTCTTGTTACCTTTCCCCCCCATCTCCCCACCTCCATTTATTTGGGTGTAAAAACTTATGGAAAAATAAATGTTGGTGATTTCAGTATTCACTGAAATGCCCTAATGGTACTTTTCTATGGTTTTTGTTTTATTACTTTTCATGCATCTTCATTTTCTTATATTTCTAAAAGTCCACGCCCCTACCCTGGCAAGAGGTATTTTTTGTTGAGGCTGGTACACAACAAGTCTGTGTTGATACCCATACACCATGCTGTTTCTTGAGATCATATGACTGTTCATGGTCTGTGCAGGGCTGTGTTGACGTTAGTGGTCTGTGTTGTCTCCTGAGGCCATATTATTGCCTGTAGTCTGAGATGCTGCTGGGGGCCATGTTGATGGTGTGACTCCTGTTACCACCAGGACCATTGGGCTTCTGTGGTCTGTGCAACCACTGGACTCCATGCTGATGTTCATGGCTTGGGTGATGGTCTGTACTGCTGTCTCAAGCCATGTTGACATCCCTTGTCCACGATGATACCAGGGGCAATGCAACTTATCTCATTCAGGAAAATAGCATTTTTTAGTATTCTGTTCTTAGTTCATTTAGCATCTCCTTTTTTAAAATTTCATTTTATTCCAGATAAACATCATGACACTTTCTAAAATAAATGATTACTTCCTCATGTTGAAATTAGTTTGCATTTATCATTTTTAATTATCTTATTTACAGTACATGTTAATCCCAGAGATTGGAGGAGAAAAATCACTGACCCAAACCTTCATGACCAAATTAATCAAAGCATGCTTTTTTATTTGTGTACACGGGGTGTCTCCCCCTAAGGTGGGGATTGAGAAGTAAGTATTGGCAGTGAGGGAGACAAGATTTTTATGAAGCTCAGTGGTAGGGGGTGTAGTTGGAGGCCACTTATTTGTTTCCAGACTGCCCAGACCTGAAATAATCACACAGAAACTATTATTAGAGCATTGCTTGGCCTATTAACTCATGCTCTTATTGGATAGCTCTTTTTTTTTTTTTTTTTGGTTTTTCGAGACAGGGTTTCTCTGTAGCTTTGGTGCCTGTCCTGGAACTAGCTCTTGTAGACCAGGCTGGCCTCGAACTCACAAAGATCCTCCCGCCTCTGTCTCCCGAGTGCTGGGATTAAAGGCGTGCGCCACCACCGCCTGTCTGGATAGCTCTTTTTTAAAAAGATTTATTTATTTATTATGTATGCATATCTGCAGGTCAGAAGAGGGCACCAGATCTCATTACAGATGGTTGTGAGCCACCATGTTGTTGCTGGGAATTGAACTCAGGACCTTTGGAAGAACAACCAGTGCTCTTAACCTCTGAGTCATCTCTCCAGCCCTTGGCTAGCTCTTATATTTTAAATGAACCGATTTCTAGCCGGGCAGTGGTGGTACACACCTTTAATCCCAGCAGTCAGGTGGACCTCTGTGACTTCAAGGCCAGCCTGTCTACAACAGCTAGTTCCAGGACAGCTTCCAAAGCTACAGAGAAACCCTGTCTCAAAAAACAAAACAAAACAAAAATTAACCCATTTCTATTAATCTGTGTATTGCCATGTAGCTATGGCCTACCAATATCTGACTCATGCAGCATCTGACCTCATGTACTCTCTCCTCTATCTGCTTGGAACTTATGCCTTGTCCTATTCAGCGCTCAAATAGGCCCAACACAGCTTCTTTATTAACCAATGGTATCACAGCATACAAGGGAGTTTCCCACACCAAGGGAGTTACCAAACAGTGAACTTGACAGACAAAGGAGGAGGGGTTACAGAAGCAGAACATAAAGCTTACACATTAGTGCAATACAGTTTCCTTAAACAAAAACATGGTTGCAAACTATGCATATTGAGGTATTCATCAGGGAGTCAAAAGGTAGTAATAATGTGTAGCAAGAATAATAAAAACTGAGACACAGAAACTGTGGTTCAACCTGAAGATATGAAAAGCAAAGCAGCCAGCAACTGGCTCTTACCTTGACCTCAGACAAAAATGGCAATCCCACTTCCGGGAAAACTCAGAATGAGACAGAGCTGAGACCTGTCTTCTCCTGTCTTATATTCCTTGCTAGTGCTGGGATTGAAGGTGTGTGCCACCACTGCCTGGCCTCTATGGCTAACTAGTATGACTACTGGGATTGAAGGTGTGTGCCATCAGTGCCTGGTCTGTATGGTTGAACAGTGTGGCTACTTTACTCTCTGATCTTCAGACAAGCATTATTTATTAAAATGCAAATGAAATATCACTACAGCCATGTAACCATTTTAAAACAAAGGTAGGGTTGCAAGGTGGTTATAAACAATGTTTAGAAATTAGGACGTGATTCCCATTCCTGAAACAGACAGTACAGAACCATTTGTACTTCAGGGTACAGGTGATCATAGTCCAATCCATGAAAACAGAGGTTAAATCATAAACAGAAATGGATCTATTTTGTCTTTACTATAAGACGGCATTTAAGCCTAAGTTGGAGGCAGGCTGGTTCTTCCTACACTTCATCCAATGTCTCAATTCCCCCTCCTGTCTGTGATTCCATTTCTCTGAGAGACAAAGAGCTTCATGTGCTTCCTGAGTGACTGTTCTACTCCAATGGGTGAAGTTAACCAGCTGCCTTTCAAGTGGGATCCAGTTATAATTGGGCTTACTGGGAACAGCCTAGGCTCAAGAGCAGAAATTCTTCTCTAGTTTCAACTTCTGTCTTCCTGTAGCTGAGACTCCGCTCAGAGATTAGTGCTGTAGAGCCTGACAAGTCTTCTGTGTGCTTGCTGAAGACAAAACCATTGCAGAGCTCCTGTAGAAGGGATAAATAGGTATGTATTTAATGCAATCAAACTGAAAGAGCAGAGAGGAGATTCACAGAGGAATCACAGAGAAACTGAACCTCATTGTTGTTAGTTTGCCCAGTGACTCTCTGTAGAAGAGTAGATGCCTGGAGCCTCTGTTATGTTAGTAACTCCATTGGAGTATGTCATACTTAAGTATAACTGAAGAGGAGGAAATGGATAGTGAATTAATGACAACTCCTGAGCCATAGTTTTTATTTTGTCAGTGAATAAAGTGAGGACATGACCATTTCCAGGGAGGTTTGAGGGGATGGTTTTATTGTAGATATGCGGAACAGCAGCCAGAGACATTTGGAAGATTCCACAGTGAGGAGAGAAAGGAGTAGACTAAACCTGGCCAGCAGATTCAACTAGGCCTTGAGAGAATAAAGAGCTGAGGAGAGCAAGAGAGGAGGTCCAAGAGAGGGAGATAAAAGAGAGAGCATGGCCAAAATGGCAGGGTTATGTAGGAATGAGAGGTTGGGAAAGGGAAGTCATGAGCTGAAGTTTAGAGTAGGGGCCAGGGAGAGGAGCTGAGAGGAGTTACAGGTCCTGAGTGAGCCTGGAGGCCAGCATGCATTGTGGGATGGTAGTAGCATGGAAGTCTGTCATTTGTCGGGAGTTCTTCGGGATCAGACAGTTTGTTTATTTGGATATATATATATATATAAATATATATATATATAATATTTTTCTTTGTTTTTTGTTTTGTCTGTGTGTGTGTGTGTGTGTGTGTGTGTGTGTGTGTGTATGCATGTGTCTGTGTTTAGCTTTCTAGTCCACTCT